TCTCTCTAGCGTCCGGCAGCGGTAAAGCCTTGACTAGGCTCAGGGAAATAGGGACTCTTCGATTTCCTATAAGTGTGTCTGCTTATTTTGAACTTCCCTTCCCAGATTGTCTACCCCAGCATGTGTTCAGTTCTAGTTTTTGTCTCTATCCTAATCATACCAAGTGCTGTAGGATTTTATGATTCCAAAGAGGCCCGGTCTTGGCGAGCGGAGCCCGACCCTGCCGCGGCAGAGAGGCGGGGTGCTGAGTGCTGGCTGTTGGATGCCTAACCCGCCTGATTTAGGATCCAGGAGCAGTCTTTGCCATTGTGTCTTTCCCGGTCCCCTCGCCCAGCGAGAGCACCTCGCCGAAGCCAATAAGGAGTGGGCGCGCAGTGGTCCGAAACCGGCGGAAGGCCCTCGCGAGGCCGGGCGGCCCTAGAACGTGCCCGGGCGCGCTCTGGAGTCCGCGCCCTGGTTTCTGCCGCTTCCTGACAAGGTGTCTCCCGTTTCGGAGAAATTGGATTCTAAAATCCCGAAACCTGGCCAGGTTCGGCCTTGCAACTTCTATTCTAATGATCTCGGGCGGAAATTGAGCCGAGCTGAGTGCACCTTCTTGCCAACGTAGGCGGAAGGGACTTTCGCTTTAGTTTCCTTCCAAGGCTGCAGGAATGTGCAGCCTTCTAGGGTCTTCTTAATGTTCATCTTAAAACCTCACCGAACTATCCCTCTTTAAAAGAAAAGGGGAAAATGGAGGAGGGGAGGGAGGGGAGAAACGACGCACCAGGCAAACAAAGTCGGGATTGGGCAACTTGAAATTGGGAGCGGATAGGATCCAGACACTTGAGTTCTCCACCCGAGTCTGTTATTAACTTGCCAGGCTTTCATATTTCTAAAACTGCGCTGCAGGAGGGGTGGGACTAGGTGAACTCTAGGCGTCCCAGACCTAGAGCAAAGGGGAATTAGGGGAAAGTATGCCGCGTTCCCCGCCAGCCTCCCCCGCGCCCCACCTCGCCGGGTGAATCCCCTGCGGCCCGCGACGCGCACGCAGCGATCCTGGCGGCCGTCGGGCCGGCAGCTTCCTGGAAAGTTACTTCTGGTTGGAGAAGGCGATAGGCAGAGAATGTTCTGTGAAATCCGCTGAACCGACATCCACTACGTTCCGGGAATGAGAGGGCTGTGCCATTCCCCTCACTGCCCCCTGCCTTGACGGCGTAACAGGGAAGAAAAAGAAAAGGCACACAATGTTGGCTATCGAGGTGCACGGAAAGTGTTTGCATCCAACTAAATTGTGGGTCACCACCGTCGTAGAACCGGGCCTCCGCTGCGCTAGCGGGGGCTTGGAGGCGGATGGGCAGCGGTGCCTGGAGAGCTCACGGGGGTGGGCTGTCTCTGGCCAACAGGTACTGTGCCTGGGATGGGTGAATTTGCGCAGGGCTTGGTCCCGAAGCGCCGGGCTCTTGTCTGTGCCCTTATGCGTAAACGCGAGCACCGGCTTCCCTGTACCGGTAGGGTAGAGGAAGGAGGAAAAGGAAGGGGTCTTTCATATCGGCCCTTTTGCTGTCTCACTTAACCTCGCCTTTTGCTTTTCTCTGGCCTTTCTTTATCTCGAGTCTCTCCTTTTTCCTTTTTGCAGCTACTTTCTCTCTCTCTCTCGTTTTTTGGGTTCCTCTTTTTTCCCTCCCCCAATGGGGTCACTCCTACAGAGGTTCTATCTTCTCAGGGGGCTTCCTTTAACATATGTGTGGAATGCACCCAGAAAAGTCAGGTTGTGAGGATGGAGAAGACAACCTTTAACTCTCTCTAGCTACTTCAGCCAGTTGGGTGGTGTGGGGGCGGGGGCGGAGGTGGAGTAGATAGGAGAGGGGCGTTCAAGTCTGAGCCTGAGCAGATGTTAGTTTCTCTTTGGTGGTCCTGCCCTCTTGGCCATGGTTTGTTTTTGGTTTTGTTGGGTGTTTTGTTTGTTTTGTATGAAATGTATTTTGGATGTGTGGTATCGGCGGTATGCTCAGAGCCAAAAGACTGGGTTTGTCCAGGACAAACTGGGCCAGGCTAAATCCTGGAGCTGCGGTGCAGGTAATTGTAAAGCTAGTGATTGGAAGGATCAGGTATAATAATGAATGGGAAAAGTCTGTGTGCCTGTAAGAAACGAAATAAATACTGATGCTGTGTCCGCACCCACTGGAGCTAGAGGGATGACAAGTTTACCTTCACCCATCGCCTCTCTGGTGGGGATCACTGAGACAGAGGAAAGATGTGGGCATTGGTGTATTCCAGTTTGTTTTGGGGCCAGGCAGAGACTCAAGGTGGAGAGAGCCCAACCTGGCCAAGCCCACAGTGGGCACAGGGGAATGATTTTGTTTATTTGTTTCATCTGGCATTTGGAATGAGTCACTGCCACTTGTCAGGGTGAAATGGCAAATCTGGGCTTCCTGTGGCTCCAAAAGCCTGGACCTGCAAACCCTCAAGTGAGCTGGTGGTCTATGCTGGTTAAAGGATGGCCCTAGTATTCCAGAAGTGTTTGGGAATCTCTTCCATGATGAGGAAAAGAGGTGGTTTATAAATAAATCTCACATGTATTTCCACAGCATTCTCTTTTTCAAAGACGACAATCATTAAATTCTGAGTGGCGCCAAATGAGGGTGTCTTAGCTCCCATTGCCCATCTTTGGTTAGGACAGGGAGTGGAGGGGATAGTGGTTTTTGTCCTTTTCTGTCCTCTCCCCTTCCCCATTTCCCTCGCTCTGGTCCCCACTCACTCACAAGCATATACTAACCTTGAAGCCCATGAGATTGAGTGACTGGCACTTGAAACCACAGAGAAATGTCAGAGTGTTTGGTTACAGACTCAAGGAAACCTCTCATTTTAGAGTGCTCATTTGGTAAGACTCAGCAGCCTGGAATGGGGCAAAGTGTTGGTGTGGGGGAAGGAACTTAAAAATGAGATCTGTTCACATTTGGGTGCTGTCATTTGTGTGCTTCAGCACGTAGGCTAATTTGGAGCAGGGATAGGAATTTGAGCCATAAAGCCTGGGACTGGGCCACCAACCATTTATGTGGCCCCATGTGACCTCGCTGGTCTCAGTCCCTTGACCCAGAAGAGAGGCTCAAATAACATTTTGTTTTGTAGCCCATGTAACATTATAAATGGGAATCCTATAGCTTTGCAGTTTATTCTTTTATTTTAGCTTATGGATTTTTTTTTTTAAAGAATGCATATTTCTTTAAATCTTTTTCAAGTTGAATACTTTCTGGCCAGTTCTCCATTAAGCCATGCAATTCTGCCAGCAGGGGGAAGCAGGAACTGTGAAAGTTGTAGATAGATAGACTTCTATCTTAAACCCGGGATGGAAGGGAAGAGAGAAGAAGCTTTGGGAGGAGGGAAGGAAAAATTTCTTAAGGAAACTGTGTTCAGACTGTAGATTCCATATTCAGTCTTAAGTATTTTATACAGTCTGAAAATACTGCCAGGTTATATGGAGTGGGCCGCCCAACTTTAGTTTTATCATTAGCAAAATAGGCATAAAGATATTGAGCCTTTGACCTTATGTAATTATTCTCAGACTTGAAAGAGAATATTCTTGCAGGTTTTGAAAAGTGTTCAGTGTGTTTTGATCCCTAAAGGAACATTATTAGTAGCCAAAGAACTGCTTTTCGTATTTTTTTGTTTCTTTCCGGTAAACTCAAATGGCCTTTGGGTTGTATAATATTTCGACTTAGAAAAGAAATCTATGTGTTTACGTGTATAGGAAATTAATGTATGCAGTTGTCGTCCCAGGACTCTGGGTAAAAACATTATTATCGCATAGCTTCTGGAGCCTGTTGTTTCCGTAAGAGCAGAGCTGGAAAATACTTGCTAGCGTGTGGTAAAACCGCACCAGCTGGCAGTCTGCAGCTATCAAAGCAAAACTAAATATGTGTGTCCTAAAATAAGACTGTAGTGGACAATCTTACATTCACTGAATCAATTTCTGTTTGCTCTCTTCTCTTCCTTGCAGCTTTTAAGCAAAATCTTGGACTGTGAATCAAGGAACTGGGTAAGTCCATTGACTATACTGGAAGATTTTGTGGACAGCCTGTTTCTTTAGAATTTGCCAATGCACGTATTTCTGTGAACTCTTAACACCTTTCATTAGGTGAGAGAAAGGAGAACTGAGTCCCTCCCCATCACTCCCAACCCCACCCTATGCGCCTCTACCAGACTCTCTGAACACTGTTGTATGACTGACTGTTCAGTTATAGCCCAAACCCAATATGGCCCCTACTAAGTGTTGGCCCTGTATCTGAAGATGCTTGGAAGTGTTTGAAGTACAAGGCGGAGCAACTGTAAGTCCTAATGGTAGAGAGACAATAGGATAGCTGTGAGAATGAAAGAAAGAAGCTGCCGCTTTGGAAACTATCATGGGTCAGGCACATGTCTCTAATTTTACAACCCTTTAGGCATTACTCCTGTTTTATAGATGGGAAAACTGAGGAACAATAAATAGCTGGCTACAGGTCATGTTGTTGTGTTGTTCTATGCCGTCGACTCGCCTGTGACCTGTAGTGACCCTGTGTACATCAGCTCTGAACCCTTCCTGTCCTGAGCCAGTCTCACTAATTCTGACACAACAAACCCCCATTGCCCTAAACATAGACTTGGTAAATGGCAGTTAGCATATTAACCTTCCAAGTCTGGGTTCCCTTTCTTGCATCTCAGTCTCTTGGTTCTTGACAGAGTATTTGGCATTTAGTAAAAAAAAAAAAAAAAGTCAACAAACATTTTTCCTCTTCCTCCCTTAAAAGCCTTACTATCCCAACTTGTTGGGTAAAGATTATTCCCCCCAGTTTATTTTTCCAAAGAATTAGGTCATCCATGATTCAGATACAAAGTAATAGAGAACCTGAGTTTGCATTTCATGCCTTTACAGGCTCAGTCACCTGCCCTGGCATATATGGTAGTCAGGAAACAGGTCCTGGGAACTAACAGGATTTTGACTCTCTCTCTTTTTTTTTTTTTAACCCGCTTCAGGTGAAGACAAAATGGCCTCACCGGCGGACAGCTGTATTCAGTTTACCCGCCATGCTAGTGATGTCCTTCTCAATCTTAACCGCCTCCGGAGTCGTGACATCTTGACGGATGTCGTCATTGTGGTGAGCCGTGAGCAGTTCAGAGCCCATAAGACAGTCCTCATGGCCTGCAGGTGAGGAAGCTGGGACGGACAAATGGATTGTGAAAGGGGGATTGGTGCAGTCAGCACAGCGGAGCATGAGGGCCTCTTGCTGTGTTTGGGACCATCTCTCATTTGTCTCCACATCTCAGCAGCACATGACCTGGTGGCATGGGCTCCTGGAAAGTGAACAAATGAATGACTTTTTTTTAAAAAAAACAAAGAATTTCTAATTTGTAGGCATTATAAAGAAGAATTATATACTTCTATAGGGAAGGATATGTTGGGGGAAAAGCATGGAGAATAACTTCAGTTAATCAGTGATATGAGGAAAAATGAAAAAGTTGCAGAGGTTGGTGGGTAGAAGGAGGGGGTAAAACAAAATAAAACAAAAAACAACAAACCACAACTCACACTATATACATGAATAAAACACATTATCAATAAAGTATTGTAAGATAACCAAAAAAAAAGTTAAAAAATGCTGAGACAGAAAAAAAAGTTGTTAAATATTTTTAAGCAAGTTAACTTGAAATTTCTTTGCTGTGTTACACTTTACACTGTATCTGTATTTCTTGTTTGCTTGTAATTGTAATTCTATGAGCATTTCAGGGTCTATGTGTTATTGAAACTGAGCCAACTATTTGTAAAATGTATTCAATTTTCCTAACAATTGCAGGTTATGTTATCCCCCTTGATCTTTGTAATAGCTTTCTGTGTTAAAAAGGTGACACTATTAAGCCCATTTTAGAGATGGAGAAGAAAGGCACTGAGTGTGGAGATGATAAAAATCAAGATCTCTAGTGAGAGTGCAAACCTTATTCAACCTCATTCAACTATAAATATCTTGCAACTACTACTATTGTTGTTATGTGGCTTCAGGTTGACTACAGCTTATAGAGACTCAATGAACAATAGCTCCTTCCCTTATCCTGAGCCAGCCTCTCTGTCTCTGATACACCTGTTTCCCATTATGCCAGTTACTGTGTCAGTCCATCTTATCCAGGGTCTTCCTCTGCTGCGTTGTCCCACCACCCTCTCAGGCATGATGTCCTTCTCCAAGGACTAGTCCGTCCTGGCAACATGCCCAAAGTATGCAAGATGGAATAATACTGAGTACTTCTCATCTGTCAGGCACTAATCTATGCTCTGTGCATTTTCATTCTTATATCGACTCCATTCTCTTGTCTCCTTACTTTACAGATGAGGAAAGCAAGGTATAGCTAAAGTATACCCAAGATTATATAGCTAGTTAAGTGGGAGAGCCCAGCATTCAAACCCAGCAATTCTGGCTCATTTCTGGCAGCCCACTAGTCAGTAGGGAGCCCTGGTGGCCTAGTGGTAAGAAGCTGTGTAGCAATCCCAAAGGCACATAGTTCAAATCCACCAGCTACTCCTCAGGGGGAAAATGAGAAATCTCTTCTCTTGCAATTAACTGCCTCTAAAAACCTGCTGGAGGGTCAGCTATGGGGTGGTTGCAACTCAAAGGTACATAACAACTACCATCACTCAATAGCTCAGAACTTGAGCTCCAAGTGAATACTTTCTCATTACCAAACAAGATGGTGCTTGGAGGCATGGCTTGAGGGCAACCTGGATCTTCTTAGAGTAACTGGTCTATGGACTTTTAGAAAAACAGTCAATTATAGATGTAGTCATGTTATTATTATCCATATCCAGCAGGCTTCTAAAATATATATAGAAGAATTTTATATTTTAAAAGGATAGTAGGATGGAAAAAGAAAGGTGTTTCAGTCTGAAGATAAAGACTAAGATTAGTTACTGCAAATGCATGTCAAATTTAACTGTGGTAATCTATGCAGGTAGGGTTTGGTGGTGCAATTGTTAAGCATTCATCTGCTAGCCAAAAGACTGGAAGTTTGAATCTACCTAGCAACTCTGTGGAAGAAAAGACATGGCAGTCTGCTTCTGTAAAGTTTACAGCCAAGAAAACTTTAGGGGACAGCTCTGCTTTGGCATATGGAGTTTCAAGAAGTTGAAATTTATTAGATAGCTCCTAATAATAACAGCAGTCCAGGCAGTAAAGATTAATAGGAAAACAGACTCTGTGGTGTTGAGATAAATCAGTTAGCCTTTTTGAGCCTCATTGCACCATTTGTGAAAGGGGGAGAATGATGATACTACCTTGCAAGGTTATTAACCACACATGATAATGTACTTAAAGTTGTTTAATGAATCTCTGGCATTTGGCAAGCTCTCTCAAAACAGTAGTTGCGATGAATTGCCATGGAATTTCTGGAACTCGGTCCAGCCGAGAGGGACTGAACACTGATGTTGAATATACTGGCTCAGAGAGTCTGTGTGTCTGTCAAGTGAGACATTTGCTTGTTTTGCAGTGGCCTATTCTACAGCATCTTCACAGATCAGTTGAAATGCAACCTTAACGTGATCAATCTGGATCCCGAGATCAACCCCGAGGGGTTCTGCATCCTCCTGGACTTCATGTACACATCGCGGCTCAACCTGCGCGAGGGCAACATCATGGCCGTGATGGCCACGGCAATGTACCTGCAGATGGAACACGTTGTTGACACTTGCCGGAAGTTCATCAAAGCCAGGTGAGCAAGCATCGAGGTAGAAAGAAGCCTTATTAGAGCTGGCGGGGCTGGTCTCTGATCAGAGATCTTTGATATTCTCCATGGCTATGGAAAAAATAGTTATCATTTGAAACAATCAACTTTTCTGCTGTAGTTGCCTACTCCTCCCCTTCTTACTGTTTCCACTGCAGGCATACTTGACACCTGGTGGTTAGGTAGCTATGTTCTCTTGCTTTTTTTCTCATTCTCTTGCTATGTCCTTTTCTCTTAACCCTCCTGCAATGCCCACTTCTTCCTTTAAGTATTTCTGATTACCACTCTTCCACCTCCAGCTCTTCCTCGGGGTTCCTTGTCTCTTCGAGAAAACATTCCTTTTATTTAAACTATTTGCATGTATGTTCTAGTTCTCCTTTCTAGTTCTTCTCTTAGAACTATTTACATGTGAGCCTTCGCTCCCCGGGCAGGCCGTGCACTGCTTTACAGTCATGGGGGCTGCCTGACTCATCATTTATATCACACTGCTCTTACTGTAGAGGACAGGGGCTGAATTTACAGATTTTAGTCCATCTAACCCCTTATTTGAACGTGGTGAAACATCATCTGTCACTCTGGATCATAAAGAAGATGTGATCCAAAGAAGGGAAGAGTTTTGCCTACATAGAGATCCAAAGTCTTACTTCCTTTATTATTACGTGCCACTGAGTCAGAACTGACACGTAGCTAACCTTCCAGTGGGTTTTGAAAGTCTGTACATTGCACAAGGGGAGATTGCCTGTCTTTCTTCTGCAGAGCAACAGGTGGATTCGAATTGCTTGTCTTTGGGTTGGTAGCATAACTAACTCCTTACCACTAAGTCACCAGAGCTAATCTGTTTAGGTTACCTCCTAAAATATATTCTTTCAAAATATTTTAGGTTATCTCCTAATTAATTCTCTTAATCTAAATCTTCTAAATAAGTCTCTAGAATATTTAGGTTCCCTCCTAAAATATGCTCCTTCACAGCATATGATCCCTTCTCAAAAAGAAGACGTTTCTAACATCCGTTTTCACATGTACAAGGGTTAGGAACTCACTGTTCCCAAAGCCACCCAGCCTGCCCTTAGACTGTGAGTAAACTCCTGTCTATGAAATCTGTCTCCTCTAACCTTCACTCACTGATTGAAGCTCTGTTAACTGTGGTCATGTTGAGCTGATCTATTTTTCCACCTACATAATGTTCCTTCAAGTGTAAGCAGTCAGAGCTCTTTGTCTCCTGCGGGTGATAATGGTGACAAGATTGTCATGGCTGTCACTGAAGGGTCCTTTCGTCGAGTCACGCTTTATGTGCAAAGTGACTCAGGAACTGGCTCTCGGTTACAGCTGCTGGGATTGGCGAGCAGGACTGGCTCTTCCAGGGCCCGAGCTTCTCGCGTGACGTGGCTGTCTGTTCTCCATGGTGAACTTCCCAGCCACTTCAGTCAGCATAGGGTGCAGGTCGTCTGTCCATGACCATCACAAATATGGAACCAGCACCACATACATTCTTTTCTTCCAGAACCTCACTTTCTGCATCTGTGAAATGGAGACATAATATCTTCCTTTTATTCCCCTTGCCAGAGCTCTTTGCCTCCTGAGGGTGATAAAGCGTGATTAAGGTTGGCAAGATTAAGAATAGGCAAAATGAAATCAAGGTTCTGAAAGCCTTATCTATGATGTAGAAATAGTTTATAAACAGAATTAGAAACGGGATGTTATAAGCAGTCTTAACATTCTGCAGCATCATAAGAATGGTTCCATCATAAGGATATGTGACTTAAAAAGGCAGGATGCACAATCTGCATCTGATCAGGCACAGATTGTGTGGATAACATACTTTGGGCCTCAGTTTCCCTATCTGTGGGTTAAATGATTTCACTTTATCATGAATGCTTTCTAGTAAGTGTTGTCCTCCTGCAGAACTGTATTCTCTCTGTCCAGCTGGCCCAGTACAGAAGACACAGGCCAGTCATCTATTCAACACAGGTCACTTTCTTCTTTCTCCCTCAGTGAAGCAGAGATGGTTCCTGCCATTAAGCATCCCCGTGAAGAGTTCCTAGGCAGCCGGATGCTGATGCCCCAAGATATCATGGCCTATCGGGGACGTGAGGTGGTGGAGAACAGCCTGCCGCTGAGGAATGCCCCAGGGTGTGAGAGCAGAACCTTTGCCCCCAGCCTGTACAGCGGCCTGTCCACACCACCAGCCTCCTATCCCATGTACAGCCACCTCCCGGTCAGCAGCTTCCTCTTCGACGAGGAGCTACGGGAAGCCCGGATGCCCATGGCCAACCCCTTCCCCAAGGAGCGGACCCTCCCCTGTGACAGTGTCAGGCCAGTTCCCAGTGAGTATAGCCGGCCGGCCATGGAGGTGTCCCCCAGCGTGTGCCACAACAGCATCTACTCGCCCAAGGAGGCAGTTCCTGAGGAGACGCGAAGTGACATGCACTACAGTGTGGCTGAGGTCCACAAGCCAGCTGCCCCCTCAGCCCGGAACCCCCCGTACTTCCCCTGTGACAAGGCTGGCAAGGAGGAAGAGAGGCCTTCCTCAGAGGACGAGATTGCCCTGCATTTTGAGCCCCCCAATGCACCCCTGAACCGAAAAGGCCTGGTTAGTCCCCAGAGCCCACAAAAGTCCGACTGTCAGCCCAACTCGCCCACAGAGTCCTGTAGCAGCAAGAATGCCTGCATCCTTCAGACCTCTGGCTCCCCCCCAGCTAAGAGCCCCACAGACCCCAAAGCCTGCAACTGGAAGAAATACAAGTTCATTGTACTCAATAGCCTGAACCAGAGCACCAAACCGGAGGGTCCTGAGCAGGGGGAGCTGGGCCGCCTCTCCCCCCGAAGTTATGCTGCCCCACCTGCCTGCCAGCCACCCATGGAGCCGGACAACCTTGACCTCCAGTCCCCTACCAAGCTCAGTGTCGGCGGCGAGGACTCCACCATCCCGCAGGCCAGTCGGCTCAATAACATTGTCAACAGGTAATTCAGCCGTCTAGTTGCCAGGCTCAGCGTTACTAGAGAGAGTCTAGGGTCACTTCCTTCTCTTTCTTTTATCTGAAGGGTGCTTGTCTTTGTTTTTTTTTTCTTGCCTCAAGTGTTAAGCATAGATTATTGTTGCTGTGTACCTTCGAGTCAGAACTGACCCATAGCTGACCGTCCAGGGGACTTTCAGAGATGATAAATTGTGTGGGAGGAGACTGCTCATCCTTCAGAGCAGCTGGTGGATTCGAACTACTGGCAGCACAGTAATTGAATTAACTTAAGTCAGGATGTCAGTTCTTAAGAATATATTTTCAATAGAAAGAATGATGATGCTTCTTTATGGTAGAAGAGCATGGCGTGGATCCTAAAGCAATTCTTATTTTAGTGTGGCAGAGGATTAACTTTCCTTTCCTCGTACAATCTGAGGACAGCTGTGGGCTACAGTATTGAAAGGGAGAAAGTTGGCCCAGCAAGGGGGTTTGTGCTTTACCCAGGGGGTTTGTGCTTTACCCAGTTATTGATCTATGTAGAGACGTGACTGGAATGTGGGCTCTGCTTAGTGGTTGAGGGTGAGGATCTCCAGTGGGTCACTCTTCCCTCGGAGCCTACCTGACTGCAGGATGGAGGGCATGGCTTTAGGCCAAGCAGGATGTGCTAAAGGTCTCGTCACTTCTGCCCGCAGGTCCCTGACAGGCTCCCCCCGCAGCAGCAGTGAGAGCCACTCTCCACTCTACATGCACCCTCCCAAATGCACTTCCTGCGGCTCACAGTCCCCCCAGCACCCAGAGATGTGCCTCCACACCGCTGGCCCCACCTTCGCTGAGGAGCTGGGAGAGACCCAGTCCGAGTACTCGGATTCCAGCTGTGGTGAGTCCCTTCCCTGCCGTCCTTTTAGCAGGGAGAGGAGGCTCCCAGCCTCAGCTCCTCCAACTCCAACTTGGCATTTCCATTATTTCCACGCTATTGTCTCTAAGTGGGTGACATCTCCATTGAAAATCTTTCCCTGGGGACTTATAATCACTGATTATAATAATTATTTATAATCAGCCGATCTCTCTGTTCTTGACCTTTTAGGGACCTGGGACAACCAAAGAAAGGGATAGAGTGTTAGAATTAGTGTGCAGTAATCAGGACTGACCAAATAGCCTTTCAGCTTAGGTCATTTACAGTGACGGCCATGACTCTCTGAGTGTTCAGGTACTCTGCATTCCAGAACCACTGGAGCTGATGTGCGGGCATGTTAGTCCTCCTCTCCAGGACTATGGACTCCATAGGGAGAAGCTTCAGACCTTCTTCAGCCTACATTGGCTTGTTATGTGCTGTCTAGTTGCCTGCAACTTATAGTGACCATAATTACAACAGCCTTGAACCCTGCCATGTCCTGAGCCAGTCTCATCCTTTCCATCAAATCGGAACTGACTCATAGCTCACCCTCCAGTGAATTTTCAGAGGCAGTAAATTTTCAAGGGAGGAGATTGCACATCTTTCTCCTGTGAAGCAACTGGTGAATTTGAACCTTGCTTCTTTGGGTTGGCAATGCAGCTCCTTACCACTAAGCTGTCAGAGCTCCATTGTATTCTCATAGGACCTAGCAAGTGGAGTTATTTTCAGCAGACGCCAAATCAAAACACTTAAATCAATGCTCAGCTGTGACTGCAAAACTATAGTTCAGTAATTCCCAATCAGGAAGAGCTATAGTGGAACAGCCTTTCCAAATTGTTCTAACAGTAAGAAAAAAGAGAAGTCAGTTGGTTTATATTGAGAGGTTTGGCACAGGGCCTTGGACCAATAGAGCTGGGTGAGCTGGGACTGTCCCCTGTTGTCCCCTGATCATTTGTTCTTGATCTGTGCTCCAAGTTCCTCCTCTCTGGGCCTCCATTTCCTCTTCCACCATCATTTCTGGCTCTCTCAAGCCCACATCTGTGCCTCAGAGACATAAAATCCAGGTAGATGCAATATCAATAGATAATTCTGTCATCAAAAATTCCTCCTTCATTTCAAGGTATCATTTATATATCTCACTTGATGTATATCTCACATTCTCATAAATGCATTGTGCTTCCTGGTTTGCATTTTACTCATCTGAGGTAGGCAGGGCAGGCACTTCTCATCCTTCTTTTGGAGACAGAGACATGGAAGGAGGTTGCGTGAGGTCAAGAGCATTGCCTGGGGGCTGCTGTGGAGTATTGAATTAAACAGTGAACTGTTAGAAAAGGCAGTTCTCAGAGCTCTCAAGAGAAAACCAGGGCTGCTGAGGCTTCCTCACTCCAGTGTCAGCCAGATGGGTAGTTTGAGCTTCTCCTCCATGCCTGTCTCCTATCCCCTCCATGACTGGGACTCTATAAAGGTTAAGAAAAAGAAAAATCCCACAGCTCATCTTCATCTGCCTCCCATGTGTTGGGCGGACAGGCAGGGAGCTGGATATTTGGTTTGACACTGGGGAGAGGGAGGAGAAGGGCCTTGGTGCCCACCCCCTCTTCCCTTGTGCTGACTGTGATGTCCCCCACCTCCCTCACAGAGAATGGAGCCTTCTTCTGCAACGAGTGTGACTGCCGCTTCTCTGAGGAGGCCTCGCTCAAGAGGCACACACTGCAGACCCACAGTGACAAACCCTACAAGTGTGACCGCTGCCAGGCCTCCTTCCGCTACAAGGGCAACCTCGCCAGCCACAAGACCGTCCACACGGGTATGGCCCTGCCTTGCCCACCTGAGCACTGCGGGGTTAATGAGGGCAGGACAGGAAGGGGGTCTGGAGCAAGCTGTGTGGATCCTTGGTGCCTGGTGGGGGTAAGGCTGGCAGCAGGCCCCATCTTAGCTTGAATGAAGTCTTTCTCTCCATCCTCTCCTTGCTCAGAGACAGGTCTACTTCCTGTCTTTTCTCTGAAGCATCTGTTCTGTTTCTCTTTGCTTGGATCAGAAGTGCTCATCCCACTCTGTAAGGGAAACACTGAGGCTGATAGAGATGCAGTAAGTTAGGCTTTCATGTTGTTCTTGTGTACCGTAACCGACCCTCCAGTGGGTTTCCAGAGGCAGTTAATAGCACAGGAGGAGATTGTGGATTTGAACCCTGTGCCATTGAGATTACAGCCCGGCTTCTGACACTAGGCCACCAGAATTCCCTTAGGTTTTCATAGAATTTTTTTTTAATTTTTTATTATTATTAAAGGTCAAAGGCCTCTTGATTTTCCCTAAGGATTTGTTCCTTATCAACTCATGTTTCTTTACCGTGTAGCTTTTAATACCTTGATTTTTTCTCCAGAGTTTATTATCTCTGAGTACTTTAAATGAGTTCATTTTTTCTCAAATTTTTCATGAGAAAAGATGCAATCCTACTATCATTTCTTCCAGCTGAGCATCTACTCAAACTCAGATCTTGCCCTTCAAGAAAATGAAATCTATCTATCTATCTATCTATCTATCTATCTATCTATCTATCAATCAAGAAAGAGTGAGTGAGTGATGTTCGCTCTAAAAGAAACTAGGCAGGCTGCTAGGATCTCTCTGGTGAGTGGATTGATTATCTAATCAATCTTATCCAAGAGAAGAGCTAGAGCAGCCTTCCCAGGTCATCTATAATAGTTCCTTGAGTTCCTGAGAGCGGAAACTGAGGCCCAGAAAATAAAAAGGACTTGGCATTGTCCCGCAGGCAGATAATCGTAGTGGCAAAGCTGGTTCTAGGAAAGCCCCTGCCCTGGTGTCTTCCATCCAATATCTAGTGTCAGTACCTTGTCCACACACCATCTCCCACCACTTAGTTTTGTATCCTGGACCCTTGCAGGTGTGTGTGTGTGTGTGTGAGAGAGAGAGAGAGAGAGAAAGATTGGGAGAAAAGGAGAAGGACACCAGATTAGACAGCAGTCTTGGAGTCTCTTTCTGATGTCATCTAAGGGAAAGGAAGGTAGAAGCAGTCCCTGGAAGAAGCAATTTCTTTGTTTTGAAACCCAGGGGCCAAGGACTGTAGCATTCTTCCTATTGACCATGGCTTTTCTCTCCTTGTTCACTTTCTCGACAACAGGTGAGAAACCCTATCGTTGCAACATCTGTGGAGCCCAGTTCAACCGACCCGCCAACCTGAAAACCCATACTCGAATTCACTCTGGAGAGAAGCCCTACAAATGCGAAACTTGTGGGGCCAGATTTGTACAGGTGAGTGAGGGGCCGTGGTGTTAGCACTCCAGCCTGGGTGAGAGGGGTGTCAAGGGGCTCTGCAGCCCAGCCGGCCAGACCCCCTCACGCTGTGCTCCTCCACCAGGTGGCCCACCTCCGAGCTCACGTGCTCATCCACACTGGCGAGAAGCCCTATCCCTGTGAAATCTGTGGCACTCGATTCCGGCACCTCCAGACCCTGAAGAGCCACCTGCGAATTCACACAGGAGAGAAACCTTACCATGTACGTGAGTCTCTTGTGAGGCTGTTGGCCCGGGAGGTGGGAAGAGGAGAAAAGGTTTGGTGGCTTTTAGAGCATGTGCTTGCTCTAGTCTTAAGCACAGGCTGATGAATGTTAAAACTGATGGTTGTTGAAAGAACTGGGGCTAGGCCTACCTGTCAAAGATGCTCTGCTGGAAACTGGCCTGGGTCTTTGTTTGCTCATCGTTGAAATGGGATAATGGGCAAGCAACGTGAACTGGACCTCAGGAAAAGGTCTAGGCAGTAGATTCCAGTCATTTCACTTATTCCACAAATCTTCATTGCATGCCTACAACATACTGGTCTAGATGTACAGTTAAAAAAGGTTAAGGAGTTTGAAAAGGAGCAGTTATAGAAATAGTGGTGTTGTTGTTGTTATGTGCCATTGAGTCGTTTGTGACTCATAGCAACCCTATGTGTACAAGAGCCCTAAACATTGTTCTATCCTGTGCCAACCTCGCCATCTCAAACACATTCATTCCCACCACTCCACTCACAGAATCGACCCATCTCATCGAAGGTATTCCTCTCCTGCGCCATCCCTCTACTCTCCCAAACATGATGTCTCTCTCCAATGACCAGTCCCTCTGTGCAACATTCCCAAAGTATGTCAGACGAAGCTTCAGAATCCTTGACTCCAGGGAACACTCTGGCTTCACCCTCTCCAGGACAAACCTGTTTGTTCTTCTAGCAGTCCATGGTATATTCAACACTCTTCTCCAGCACCACAACTCAAAGACATCAATTCTCTTTCTATAATCCCTATTCACTGTCCAACTCTCCAATGTAAAGAATAAAATCAGGGGAAAAGGTATGTCAAGAAGGCAGTGGCCAAGTGTGCAGGGTGTTGCCATAAATCATGTTTGCCACGAGGCGATTCCACCTCCTAGAGCCTCTTTGTGACAGAGCAGAGCTGTCCAGTATGATTTTCAAGACTGTAAATCTTTAAAGTAGCAGATCATCTAGTCTTTTTTCTCTTGATGAGTCACTAGTAGGTTTGAACAACTGACCTTTATGTTAGCAATCAAATGCATAACCATTATACCACCAGGAATCCTTGTTGCTATGAAAAAGCCATAATAATTGTTGCATTCCAGAACAAAACTTAGTGAAATAAGTATGCCTGTAGGCCAATTGTTATATCTTTGGTGAGCTGAAACAGTTTGTTTGGTTTTAGTCCTCCCATTTTTAAGTGGTTGGGGGCCTAAAAATCAAATGAAGAGTATTTTGTGACTCGTGATCTAGACCTTAGGACAAATGATACGAAAATCCAGTTTTAGAGTGCCTAAATAAAACTTTATTGGAACACAGTCACATTCCGTTTTTAAAATATATTGTCTATGACTGTCATGCTGCAAAGACAGGATTGAGTAGTTGTGATCCAGAACATAAGGACCACTTTATCTACTGTTGCCTAGTCCTGTACAGAGAAAACATTGTCACCTTCATTTTAGAAAATGATATTGGCTTAGCAATTGGGATATTTGAGTCCCAATTCTGACTCTGACACCAGCCCTTTTTGTAGCCTTGAGTAAGCCCTTTCCTTCTCTGGCACCCAAGCCTGCTGCCCCTTGGCCCGTCTTCTTAGGTTTCCGTCTAAAAGGTTGAGGATGTTCTAGATGAACAGTTTCCAGGCTCTTTCAATCACACAAGTTCTATAGCCCCTGTGTGGGCGGAAGCCTCTTTTAACTTTCAGATTTCCATGCACATTTTTGTTTGAAGGAATATTCTAAAAAGAGTTCCACGTCTTGCAGACTTGTTGTTCATAGGGTCACTATGAGGCAAACTTAACTTGATGACACTTAACAACAGCAAGAAGTCTTATAAGCACAACTCACTGTTAAAGGTAATGTGCACGTTGAACTAGAAACTTTTGTTGAATGGTTAACTCAAAGCACAAAAATCAACCTATGAAATGTGGTTGTTTTTATTTCTCTATATATCAAGCCTTGAGGGAATGAATACCTTCTTAATTGTACTGTATTCCTAGCCAGGTAATAATGTTTTAGGATTTGTTCATTACTCAGCTCTTTAAAAGCCCTGTCTGTAAATTGATCTTAATGGCAATAGCTGCTTCATGGAGTTGTTGTAGGAAAGTGTCCTGAACAGTGACCAAGACATGGTAAACATACACTAAATAGGTGAGGTTATTAATTTAGTTAGTGATTTTTCTTTTAAGTAACTTTTTCACCAAAATTATTAGCATCCACTTGTTATTCAAAGCAAATGATATCTGTTTACTCATGCCTTATTACCTTGTTTATTCTATGTGCGCTAAAATATCTATGTATATCTATATCTGTGTTAATTTTCAAAAAGGTATCCTGGCTTCTCCATGAATTTAAGTTCTTCTAGTCTGTTTGTCCAAATGCTAGGTGCTAGGAGGATTGTAAGGCTCAGTAAGAAGGGATTATTGCCTCTAAGATGTCCCCACCCAATTCACGTCTGAAAGCATAAAGGGTGACTATGTGGCAGGAGGTTCAAAGGTTATTTTATTCTTGAAAAGATTATGGGATGTTAATTAATTAGGGAAATTTACATCTGATCTCTCTTTTGTAATTGTGGAGTTTAGGCAAGGAAATGTATCAAGTAGGAGAAAGCAAGAACAATATTTTAGAAAGCAGAGCAGGAATATATGAATGCCTTTTAAGACCACCCAGAGGTATCGCAGAAGAAAGGCCTGGCAGTCTGTTGGAAAATCAGCCATTGGAGCCCCTACGTGACACAGTTCAACTCTGACACACATGGGATTGCCATGAGTCACAATCCACTCAATGATTAGCTGACTTTGTTTCTGCTTCACTTGTCCTTTAGCCAAAGTCAGGATTTGTCTGAGTTATTTGAGAGTGAAAATGACATGCTTCTTGGGTTGCTAACCACTAACCATTTGCCTCTGATGTCCCCCAGTGCGAGAAGTGTAACCTGCATTTCCGTCACAAAAGCCAGCTTCGTCTTCACTTGCGCCAGAAGCACGGCGCCATCACCAACACCAAGGTGCAGTACCGCGTGTCCGCCACTGACCTGCCTCCCGAGCTCCCCAAAGCCTGCTGAAGCATGGAGTGTTGATGCTTTCCTCCTGAGCCCCTCCTCAGAATCTCCCAAAGGATACTGTAACACTTTACGATGTTCATCCCATGATGTAGTGCCTCTTTCATCCACTAGTGCAAATCATAGCTGGGGGGCGGGGGCGGGCCGGGGTAGAGGCAGGGGGACCCGGGAGCACGGTGAGCTCCCCTTTCCCTACTGCCGACAACATTAAAATAATATTGCTTCTTCTCCTACGTGTAAAGCAAACCATGTCAGCAAAAAGCAAAACCATTTTCTATAGTGAAGTGGGGAAGTATGCAAGAGTTCTGACTTGACTTTGTCTGCAAAATGAGGAATGTATATGTTTGGTGGGAACAGATGTTTCTTTTGTATGTAAATGTGCATTCTTTTAAAAGACGAGACTTCTGTATGTTATCAAAGAGAGGGCTTTAATTTTTTTAACCAAAGGTGAAGGAATATATGGCAGAGTTGTAAATATATAAATATATATATATAAAATAAATATATATAAACCTAAAGAAGATATATTAAATATATAAAATTGTGTTAAAGGCTCGATTTTGTATCTGCAGGCAGACACGGATTTGAGAATCTTTATTGAGAAAGAGCACTTAAGAGACTATTTTAAGTATTGCATCTGTATAAGTAAGAAAATATTTTGTCTAAAATGCCTCAGTGTATTTGTATTTTTTTGCAAGTGAAGGTTTACAATTTACAAAGTGTGTATTAAAAAGAAAAAAAGAACAAAAAAAGCTGCAGAAGGAAAAAACGTGTAGTTTTGTTCTAGTTTTCAGTTTGTATATACCTGTACCACGTGTCCTCACGGTGCCTTTTTCTTGGAAGTTTTCAATGATGGACGAGCGTGCGCCATCCCTTTCTGACGTGGAGGCAGACACAGGGACTTGACATTGTCACTCACTAAACTCTCTTTGGGAACGTTTGTCTCATCACATTCTGCGTCATGCTTGTGTTATAACTACTCCGGAGACAGGGTTTGGCTGTGTCTAAACTGCATTACCGCATTGTAAAATATAGCTGTACAAATACAAGAATAAAATATTCAAAAGTCAGCTTGGCTTGTTCCCCAGATTTGTGTTTGAGTCACTTGAATGGGGGCCTCTGGCGTCCCCGGGTGTTGGAGATGGTTAACGTGCTCGGCTGTGGACAGAAAGGTTGATGATTCGAGTCTGCCGAGAAGTACTTTGGGAGAGACTTCTGAAAAACCACAGCCATCCAGGGCCCCGTGAAACGCTGTTCTGCATTAACAAGTTGGGTTGCCGTGAGTCACAATGTACTTTCTGATGTTTCTTTCAGCTCTTAACCGAGTAGAAAGAGTCCCTAGAGAGGATACTAGCGAATATTCTCAGAAGGCACTTATTTGGGATAATGGGGCTTTGTGTTCAATACTGGCCTGCATCTACCCTCCAGCCCCAGGATGAACCGGAGATTTCATACCTTGTTCACAAAGCGACTATGAACAAGTCATTCACCGTTATTTGTAGCTGATGCTCTCCCGCTTCTTTTTGGTTTTCATTTGAGAGTTTAAGCCTGAACTTGAAATGTTTTAAGTTCTCACCTTCTGACACGAATAGGTTGCCATTCTGTGAGCTGAGAGGATTCCTAAGCTATTCCTCCCTATGAGCAAAGAGCCCTGCTAGGCAGTGGGTGAGAGCTCAGGTGCTAACTGAAAGATTGGCAGTTTGAAGATACCAGCAGCCGTGTGTGCAGGAGCAAAGTGGGCCATCTGCTTCCATAAGGATGAGACAGTCCTTCCCTTGTGTTGTAATAGGGTCACGGCGAGCATGACTCTCCAGAACGGCAGTGGGTTTGGGTTTTGTTTGCCACTCACCGGCATGTGGCAGTAAGAGAGGTGTCTGCCCGAGCCACAGATTTCTAGGCCGTGGTGCCTCCCAAGTCCTTAGTGTCAGCTGGGTGATTGTTGCAAAAAGTTTTTTGAGGTTGTATGCTCTGAAGCTTTAGGAATGGTTAGTTAGCCAAGCAAACTTCCATCAAGTATGTCTGTCCCTTTGGCCAAAGACCCTCATGATGAGGGTCTGCCACCGCCTCCTTTCACAATTATTGCAATCAGTAGGGAGAATGCACAGCAAAAAACACTGCCCAGTTATAGACAAACCCATTGTGATCCACATTGGCTGATGTTTGAAACTGGCTGGGAATTGAACCTGGGTCTCTTACCTGGAGGGCAAAAATTCCACCACCCCATAATCACTCCTTCTTTTCTGGTCTTGCAACAAGCACTTCCCCCTTCTGGGTCTCATTCCTAATCTGGAAAAGAAGGGATTGGATTGACTAGGTCATCTGTGATTCCATGATTCAGACGTAAATGCAACCTAGTTTGCTTTGGCATTCAGTTTGCTTTTACCTCAAAAAACCCCAAGGATCAAGTTTGATTGACGGGACCTCAGAGCAGTGAGGACAAATGTGGTTCTGGCCACTGGCCCAGAATTCAAAGCCTGTGCTCCGCTTCTTCCCATTCCTGGGTGGCAGCGTGGGGGAGGGGGCCGCGTGAGGCAGAGCCTTTGCCTGGACAGGCTGGCCGCTGGTTGACCGCTAGCGTCCCTTGGCAGTGTCTCAGGAACAGGCTCCGAGCACGTGCTGGGAAGCCTAGGGGAGCTGACCACCCAAAGCCCCAGAGAAAGCCTCCGAAAGTCACACCACCTCTGCCAACTGCATGGCCTTTCAGCTCAGGTTTCCTTTGAAAATGACTTTAAAGGACCTGCCAGCTCAAGGCCTCAACTCACCCTTCTCTTTGAAAAGGGAGAAAATGATCCCTCTGCTCCCATAGAGACTTGGCAGGAGAACTTAGGAAACAGCTGAGCTCAGGAATGACAGTTCACAGGCCCAGGGAGGCTGGCTGCAGGGCCCCTCAGCTCCCCAAGTGCCCCGGGATCTATTTACCTCTCATTCCTGTTAAGGGATTGGAGAGCTGGGCAGACCCTGAGAAACATTCAAATAAAAGGGAAGATCGAAGAGTGAGGAACTGCAGCCAATCGAGGATCAAAAGGAAGTAAAAAGAAAGTTCTCTACACAGACAGGTGAGGGCAAGGGGAATATAGACTCTATTACAAAAGTGTAACCAGATGCAACTTCCCAGAAGTTCATGTCTTCTAAAACAGGTTGTGAATGATGCTCTTGTCTTTAGGGGTTTAGAGGACCAAGAGGGTGACTCAGGGGAGGCCTCGGAAGTAGGCAATTAGAATCAAGTAGAGGTATCCTGGAAGTTGGAAAGGATCCCACATTAGATATACCTGCTTCAACTCTCTCATCCAATTTATGGAAGACCAGTGAGGCCCAAGGGGTGGAAACCCTTGCCTGCTGTCAGCCACTGCCCTGGTGGAAAGAGAAGAGAGAGAAAATTCAGATCCAAACATTCCCATTCTAGAGATCAGGAAACTGAGATGAGGGTCTCACAGATCAAAAGGAGGCCAAGAAGCCAGAGTTCACATAGTTGTTGGTAAGATTTCAATCCTTTCCCTTTGGGTTCAGCCTCTGATTTCTCAGCAGTAAATATTTCCTTCAATACATGGGTTCACTTTCTCTCTGTGTCATTCATGGTACCAGCTTTGTTAGGCAGGGCAGATGACATTGTACATTAGTGTGGAGCTTAAAATTTTTTGTTGTTATTGTTGTTGTCTAGTTTTTTAACTCTGCAATCCTGTAGACCTTGGAGAGGAATAAAGAAAACATGGAACCCAAAGAACTGTATGTAGCAAGAGCACAAAGATTTAAAAGGGACTGCAAGCACATTGGGGGTTGCAGGGTGATCTCTGGAGCTTTAGAAGGAATGATGTGGTGAGTAAAGAGCAAACGTGAGCTACAGATCACATTAGAGTTGTCCACAGGCAGCAATGGTGATCTGCTTGCTGGTCTTGCCTTTCCTGGAGCCGAAGCACTTCATGGCTTCCACGATGTTCATACCTTTTTTCAGCTTGCTGAAGACTACATGCTTGCCTGGGACCCGTTTGTACTGGGTCCAGCATTTGCTGTGGACACAATGCCAGGACCTGTGTGCTTCAGGATGTTCTCATCATCAGATTTCCCGTAGATGGACTTACCACTTGTACTATTATGGCGTGTGAAGTCTCCACCCTGGCACATAAACCCAGGAATGATTCTGTGAAAGCAGGAACCCTTATCACCAAATCCTTCCTCCTCAATACTCAGAGTGCAGAAGTTGTCTGCTGTCTTTGGGACTTTATCTGCAAACAGCTTGAAGGAAATGCAGCCTAAAGCTTCTCCAGCAGCGGCGACATTTAAGTACTCGGTGGGCTTGACCATGGCTGGGGTGAGCAGAGCGGATGAGTGTGCTGCTGAGGTGGCCATGTCTGCAAAGGAGCTTAAGATTTTTTAAAGCACATTTTCCACAATAAATTCTTGCAGCCATTCCTACATTTTAACCAAGATGAGGGTCACAGAGTGAAGGCCACGGGCGGTCTCGGAAGTCCCAACACAGTGGCAGACCAGGCGCCCAGGAGAGCACATCCAGTGATGGCAGCTCTCAGAAACTCCTTAGAGAAGCTTCTTTCAGGTCACACCTTCCCCAGTCACATCTTGTATCGTGTACTCCCCTCTCTGGCCACTGATCTGACCCAGGACGCACACCTGATCCAAGGACAGCCAATCCACAGACAGATTATAGTGTATGACGCTATCTAACTGGGGCGGGTGGGGCATGGTGAGGGGGTGAGTTGACTCACTAAGATTCTAAATCCTGGGGACTTAGCAGTGAACTACTCAGCCAGCCCAGTATTTTTCAAACTTCAACTGCTTTTTGTTCACCTTTATAATGTTTGCTACATCAGTATATCCTAAATATTTAGTCACCATTTTTCTATCCATCAACTCACGTTTCAGATGTATTTTGCCCCCAAAATGATCAAAATACTTTGTTGTTGTTTGTTGTTAGGTATCCTCGCGTCAACTACAACATGAGTAGTGTACTATCGAGTCGGAACCGATCCACAGCTTACCCTCTGTCAGGT